ATCCCCGTTGTTCGAGGATGTCTCAGGCGAAACGGCCATTTCCGAATATTCGGCCGATTTCGCAACCGATCTGAACAACTCCATTGTCTAAGGATGTCTCGAGCGAGAGCCTCACTTTCAACACTAAGACGTCTTAACACAACTGTTTCAACATCCCCGTTGTTCGAGGATGTCTCAGGCGAAATGGCCATTTCCGAAAATTCGGCCGATTTCGCGACCGATCTGAACAACTCCATTTTCCGAGGATGTCTCGAGCGAGAGCTTCACTTTTAACGATACGACGTCTTAAAAAAACTCTTTCAACATCCCCGTTGTTCATGGATGTCTCAGGCGAAACTGCCATTTTGAGGGGAACCTACCCGGACAAGAACGGGAAGCGCCGCTTCTCCGCAGGGATTTGCACACAACGTGGAACGTGTGCACATGGGGTTGGCCGTCGCTGGGCTTCCCTAAACGCCCAGATGGTTGCCATGAGTAGCTTGTGTTGAGTGGTTGTCTCTGGTTGGTTTTGTCAAGTGTTGCGCGTGGCCTGTATGCGTGTGTGCGTGTGTGTGCTTGTGTGTGCGCGTGCAGGTGCGTGTGCGGCTGTGTGCGCATGTGTGCCTGCGTGTGCGCGTGTATGCAATGGGTGTTCTGGGGGGGGCGGGACGGGGGGGGGTGCGGCGTGCGTACCGGGTGTGTGCTGGGCGGGCGGGCGGGGGGGGGAGTACGGTGGGCGTCCATTTTAAACCGCATGGCCGTTTTGACCCGCCTGACCGTGGAGATCAAGCGTGGAAGTTTTAATCAGCGTGGCCGTTTTAACCCGCATGGCCATTTTAACCCGCCTGGCCGTGGAACGCTACCTAGATCAAGCGTGGCCGTTTTAACCCGCGTGGCCGTTTTAACCCGCGTGTCCGTTTTAACCCGCATGGCCATTTCAACCCGCCTGGCCGTGGAACGCTACCTAGATCCAGCGCGGCCGTTTTAACCCGCATGGCCGTTTTAATCCGCGTGGCCGTTTTAACCCGCATGCCGTTTTAACCCGCCCGACCGAGGAACGCTACCTAGATCACATTCAACCGAGCTGGCGATCGATCTGAACGACTCCAGTTTCCAAGGATGTCTCGAGCGAGAGCCTCACGTTCAACACTAAGACGTCTTAAAACAACTGTTTCAACATCCCCGTTGTTCGAGGATGTCTCAGGCGAAATGGCCATTTCCGAATATTCGGCCGATTTCGCAACCGATCTGAACAACTCCATTTTTCGAGGATGCCTCGAGCGAGAGCTTCACTTTTAACAATTCGACGTCTTAAAACAACTGTTTCAACATCCCCGTTGTTCGAGGATGTCTCAGGCGAACTGGCCATTTCCGAATATTCGGCCGATTTCGCGACCGATCTGAACAACTCCATTTTCCGAGGATGTCTCGAGCGGGAGCTTCACTTTCAACACTAAGACGTCTTAAAACAACTCTTTCAACATCCCCGTTGTTCGAGGATGTCTCGGGCGAAACGGCCATTTTGAGGGGAACCTACCCGGACAAGAACGGGAAGCGCCGCTTGTCTGATCTGCACGCGCAAGGATTTGCACACAACGTGGAACGTGTGCACATGGGGTTGGTCGTCGCTGGGCTTCCCTAAACGCCCAGATGGTTGCCATGAGTAGCTTGTGTTGAGTGGTTGCCTCTGGTTGGTTTGGTTAAGTGTTGCGCGTGGCCTGTATGCGTGTGTGCGTGTCTGTGCTTGTGTGTGCGCGTGCAGGTGCGTGTGTGGTTGTGTGCGTATGTGCGCCTGCGTGTGCGCGTGTATGAATACGGCAGGTCCGTGTCGTGCCGACCCCAGCGTTGGTTTTTGACACCGCAGGGATCGTTCAACCTTGAACGATCGGCCGCTGCCGCAACGTCCGATCGTTCAACATCGATCGATTCTGGGTCGCCGTCGGCGTTCAACCTTGAACGCCGGCGGCGGGGTCGCCGCTGGTCGACACGACGCAAACCTATCGTATGTGTTCTGGGGGGGGCGGGACGGAGGGGTGTGCGGTGTGCGTGCCGGGTGTGTGCTGGGCGGGCGGGCGGGGGGGGGAGTACGGTGGGCGTCCATTTTAAAACGCATGGCCATTTTAACCCGCCTGGCCGTGGAACGCTACCTAGATCAAGCGTGGCCGTTTAGCCCGCATGGCCGTTTTAACCAGCGTGGTCGGTTTAACCCGCATGGCCATTTTAACCCGCCTGGCCGTGGAACGCTACCGAGATCAAGCGTGGCCGTTTTAACCCGCGTGGCCGTTTTAACCCGCGTGGCCGTTTTAACCCGCATGGCCATTTTAACCCGCCTGGCCGTGGAACGCTACCTAGATCCAGCGTGGCCGTTTTAACCCGCATGGCCGTTTTGATCCGCGTGGCCGTTTTAACCTGCATGCCGTTTTAACCCGCCCGACCGAGGAACGCTACCTAGATCATATTCGACCGAGTTGGCGATCGATCTGAACAATTCCAGTTTCCGAGGATTACTCTAGCGAGAGCCTCACTTTCAACATTAAGACGTCTTAAAACAACTGTTTCAACATCCCCGTTGT